TTGTCCCCAGTCCCTCTCCAGCTCTCCTGGAGCCCCTTTAGGCTCTGGAATGTGCTCCAAGGTCTCCCTGGATCCTTCTTTCCTCCAGGTGTCCTCATGGATCCAGTGTGGGAAGGGAATTTAATTCCACCCCCTGCCATGGGCAGGGACACCTCCCACTATCCCAGGTTGCTCCAAGCCCCGTCCAACCTTGGAGAATTCCAGGGATGGGGAATCCGCAGCTTCCCTGTGCTCTGGGATGTCCCTGTGGCCATTTGGGATCAGTTTTCCCACCCGTGTCCCATCCCAGCTCCTTGTGCATCCTGGGATTCCTCTCTGTGGGATAAGGACCAGAAGCTCTGGATCTGTTTTGCCTTTGGGATCAAACCAGCCAAGGGATCAGGGGATGGAATCTGGGGGAATTCTGGGGAAAGGGGGGATTGGAAGGAGCTTCCGTGAAAATCCCAACTTGTTCTGGAAGTCGTTTGTGATCGGAGCATCAGCACTCCCAGTGGGAATCATGGAATGCCTTGGGTTGGAAAAGGGCTTTTTAAGGCCATTGAGTCCAACCATTCCTGAGCCACATTCCCGCTGCCAGGGCCACCACTGAGCCACATCCGCAGGGATTTTAAATCCCTCTGGGAATGGCAACTCCACCACTGGACAGTCCTTTCCATGCGGGAATTATTCCCAATATCCCCTGGCAGAGCTTGAGGCCGTTCCCTGTTGTCCTGCCCCTCACCCCCTGGAAGCAGAGCCCACCTGGGCTCGTGTCCAGCTGGAGGAGCTCCAGAACTTCCCTGGGAATCCCTGGGTTCTCTTTTCCTTGCAGATGCGGGGCCCGTATCCGTCACCATCCCGGCCTCTCCCTTCATGCAAAAGTTGGGATACGGCACCGGAGTCAACGTGTACCTGATGAAAAGGTGTGTGGGGGGAGCTCGGGGGGGACAGGGAACAGGGATTGGGCAGCTTTTATTCCCCAAAAATCCCCCTGGGGATGGAAAATGGGCTCTGAGAGGGAAAGCGGTGCCGTCACCGCCCTCCGGAGGCCGCCAGATTCCCTTCCCACGGATCCGGAGCCCAGGGAGGGATTTGTGGGGTTTGTGCCGGGCTTGTCCAGGCTGGGAAGGAGCCCTTTGTTTTGGGATAACCCCCCCATCAGCCTTTCCCGGGGATTCAGGGCTTTGGAGTGCATTCCTGGCTCCTCAGGGCAAGCTGCTTCCCTCCCGGAACTCTGGATGGGAATCGACACAAATTCCCTCTCCCTGAGAATTCCAGGCAGGAGCAGCAGAGCATTCCCGTGCCCGCCTGGGGCAGATTCCAGTTCTTTTGGCACTTCTCCTCAGTAATTCCAGGGAATAAAGGCGGGTGTTCCCTAGCACAGCCCCTCAGGGCCCCATCCCAGTGTTATCCCGAGGGAGCGGCTCTGATTTTCCAGGGATTTTCCAGGTCTCCCAGGGGTTTGTCCCGCTCCCCCTGGGCCATCAAGAAGATCAATTCCAAGTGCAACCGGAGCCAGCAGAGCCTCTACCGGGAGAGGCTGAGGGAAGAGGCCAAAATCCTGCGGGACCTCCAGCATCCCAACATTGTGGGTGAGTTTCCACGGCGGGGAAATCGGGAATTCTGGAGCCCTCCCCACCCTCCCAGCCAGGAATCCCTTCCCAATCTCCCATCTCTCCCTGCCCTCTGGCAGTGGGATCCATTCCCTGTGTCCTGTCCCTCCAGCCCTTGTTCCCAGTCCCAAATTTACCCAGAATCCACTCAAATTCACCCAAATTTTTGTGAAAAGTCACAACCCCCCCCCCCCAAAAAAAACATTCCAAAAAAAACAAAAAAAAAAATCCCCCCAAAATTAAAAAAAATCTGAAAAAAATTCCCAAAAATTCAAAAAAAAATTCCCCAAAATTCCAAAAAAAATTCCCCAAAATTCCAAAAAAAATTCCCAAGCCCCCTTTTATTCCCCCTCCCCAAAAAGGTCCTGAAAGGTCACAATAAAAAAAACCCCAAAAAATAAAAAAAAAAATTCAAAAAAGTTCAGGAAAAAATCCCAAAAATCCCCCAAAATTCCCCCAAAATTCCCAAGCTCTCCCTGGATCCTTCCCTTCCCCAGTCCCATCTCCCCTCCAGGTTTTCCTGTTCCCAGCCCTGCCCAGGAGCCCTGGAAGCGGAGGGACAGGGAGTGACAATGTTTGCCCTGGGAAAGGTCAGGGCTGTCCCTGCCCCCAAATTCCTGCCAGGGGCAGGACGGGGCCTTCTCGGGGACCCAACATTCCTTGGAGGCAGCAATTCCCACCCCCGGGAGCTCCTGGGGATCACGAGGAGCCCAAGGTGTTGTTGGAGATGTTGGAGCAAGACAAGGGCAGGAATTAAACCCGGGGTGAAGCAACATCTCCGAACGTTCCCACTGGGAGAGCCAAGGGCAGGACAAAGGCTCCATTGTCCCCTGGAATTCCGGACAGGGAGGGACCTCTTGGCTCCTGGAGTGGCCCCACCGGACCAGGGAGCGCCCTGGGCACTCCTGGGGCACATCCGGGGGGGCTCAGGTGGGATATTGGGAATAATTCCTCCATGGAAAGGGTTTCCCGGGATGGAGTTGCCATCCTTGGAGGGATTTAAATCCCTGTGGATGTGGCACTTGGGGACAGGGCTCGGGGGTGTCCAAGGGCTTGGGAATCCCAGGATAAGCCAAGTCCTGTGGCCATGGATCTCACAGGGATCCCTGGCTGTGCCCACGGCCTGGGGACAAGGGATGCAGGGACAGGACACGGGGAATGGATCCCACTGCCAGAGGGCAGGGAGAGATGGGAGATTGGGAAGGGATTCCTGGCTGGGAGGGTGGGGAGGGGCTGGGCTGGAATTCCCAGAGAAGCTGTGGCTGCCCCTGGATCCCTGGCAGTGTCCAAGGCTGGGTTGGAGCAGCCTGGGATAGTGGGAGGTGTCGGGGTTGGAATGGGATGAGCTTTGAGGTCCCTTCCCACCCAACCCATTCCATGACCTGTTCCTTTCCCGTCTCCTGGCTCCCCATCCCATCCCATCCATCCCATCCCATCCCATCCCTGTTCCAGGATACCGGGCTCTCACGGAGGCTCCCGATGGCAGCCTGTGCCTGGCCATGGAATTCGGGGGGGAAAAGTCCCTCAACGACCTGATCGAGGAGAGGAGGGAGAAGGGCCTGGGCCCCTTCCCGGCCAGAAACATCTTCCAGGTGGCCCTGAGCATGGCCAGGGGGCTCAAGGTACGGGGGGCTTCCCTGGGATCCAGGGAACGGGAATAGCCATGGAATTGAAGGAATTCATCCAGTCCCACCCCCCCTGCCACGGGCAGGGACACCTCCCGCTATCCCAGGGAATCCAACCCGGCCTTGGACACTCCCAGGGATCCAGGGGCAGCCACAGCTTCTCTGGGAATTCCAGCCCAGCCCCTCCCAGCCAACAATCCCTTCCCAATCTCCCACCTCTCCCTGTCCTCTGGCAGTGGGAAGCCATTCCCTGTGTCCTGTCCCTCCATCCCTTGTCCCCAGTCCCTCTCCAGCTCTCCTGGAGCCCCTTTAGGCTCTGGAAGGGGCTCCAAGGTCTCCCTGGATCCTTCCCTTCCCCAGTCCCATCTCTGGATCCTTCTCTTCTCCAGGTGAACATCCCCAGCTCTCCCAGCCTCTCTCCCAGCTCTTCCCACTCTTCCCTCTCCAAGTCCCTTTGGATTCACCCCTTGGGTCCCTGCAATGGGAAAATCCCAGCCCAGGTGGTTTTATTCCCTCTCCCATCCCTGGGGTGGTTTTGTTGGGACACAGCCAAGGACGGGATGAGCTGGAACATCGACGGTCTCCAAGGAGGAGACCTTGGTGTGCCTGGAATCGCTTCCCAGAGCATCCAAACCTCTCCATCCCTGGAATTGTCCCAAGACCAGCTCGGAGCAACCTGTGGATGGAACTGGATGATCCTTAATGTCCCTTCCCACCAGAACCAGGGGCAGATTCCCAGATTCCGGAGCCGTTCCCTGAGTGTTTTTTAAGGCCGAGCGTGTGAAATATCCCGACGTTCCTGGCCTTTGGTGCTCCATGATCCTGATCCAAGGGATCCAGGGGTTTTTTCCTGCCTCCCCCCAGTACCTGCACGGAGAGAAGAAGCTGCTGCACGGGGACATCAAGTCCCCCAACGTGGTGGTGAGGGGGGACTTCGAGGCCGTCAAGATCTGCGACGTCGGAGTGTCCCTGCCCCTGGATGAGAACATGACCGGTGAGGAGAGCCTTATCCCAGGAATTCTGGGATGCTCTCACCGGAGGGTTGTGGAAACAAAGCTTCCCAGGAGGGTTAGAGGGTTGGAATTACCTGGGAATTCCTGGGAGGGTTAGAGGGTTAAAATTCCCGGGAGGGTTAGAGAGTTAGAATTCCCTTGGAATTCCTGGGAGGATTAGAGGATTAGAATTCCCTGGGAATTCCCGGGAGGGTTAGAGGCGGAGCCCAGGAGCCCAGGGCTGCAGGCAGCGGGATGGGAGGAATGCGGGATGGGAGGAATGCGGGGAAGGGAGAAGCTTTTAACGGGAATCTTGGAATCTGGGAGGGTTAGAATTCCCTGGGAGTTCCCGGGAGGGTTACAATTCCCTGGGAATTCCTGGGAGGGTTAGAGGCGGAGCCAAGGGCTGCAGGCAGCGGGACAGGAGAAATGCGGGCAAGGGAGAAGCTTTTAAAGGGAATCTTGGGAAGTCTGGGAAATCTGGCACTGCCACGGTGCCAGATTCCCACATGAGGAATGTGGGAAGGAAATAGATCCAGGCTTCTCCCAAAAGGAGCTGCCCTGGGAATTCCAAAGGCTTTAGGGGGAATGTGGGGAAGGAAATAGGTCTGGGCTCCCAAAAGGTGCCGCCCTGGGAATTCCAAAGGCTTCAATCCACGTGGCGGGAATGTGGCAGGCTCTGGAACGTGGGGATGGGGATTCCCCCACCCCAGGGGAGCCGGGCGGCCCCTTTTCCATGGAAAAACGATTCCAGAGGGGTTGGTTTTCCCCGCAGTGAGCGACCCCCGGCTCTGCTACGTGGGCACCGAGCCCTGGAAGCCCAAGGAGGCGCTGGAGGAGGGCGGGACCATCACGGACAGATCCGACATCTTCGCCTTCGGCCTCACGCTCTGGGAGATGATGACCCTCAGCATCCCACACCTCGACCTGGGCCCCGACACCGGGGAGGAAGGTTTGGAGGCTCCACATTCCTGGTGGGAGAGCCCTTTCCATGCGGGAATTGTTCCCAATGTCCCAGCTGAGCCTGCCCTGGGACAGCCCTTTCCATGTGGGAATCGTTCCCAATGTCCCACCTAAGCCTGGAGGGATATTGGAGGCCGTTCCCTCCCCTCCTGTCCCTTGTTCCCTGGGAATTCCCTGAGGACCCTCCACTTCCTGGAACTTCCTTCCAGGGAATTGTGGAGAGCTGGGATAGTGCCAGGATGGCACAGAATCCTTAGGGATGGTTCAGGTGGGAAAATCCCTCCGGGATCACGGAATCCAAGCATCCCCAGCATTTCCAAGGCCAGCTTGGATCCGTGTCCCCAAGGGCCACATCCACAGGGATCTGAAATCCCTCTGGGAATGGTGACTCCAGCCCTGCCCTGGGAAGTTCATTCCAATGTTTAACCACCATTTCCATGTGGGAATTGTTCCCAATATCCCACCTGAGCCTCCCCTGGAGCAGCTGGAGGCCGTTCCCTCTCCTCCTGTCCCTTGTTCCCTGGGAATTGGGACCCCTGTCAGGGAGTTGTGGGGTGGGAAAAAGTCCCTCCTGATCCCTCTTTTCTCCGGGATGAGCCCTTCCCAGCTCCCTCAGATATTCCTGCTGCTCCAGCCCCTTCCCAGCTCCCTCAGCCATTCCCTCTTCTCCAGCCCCTTCCCAGCTCCCTCAGCCATTCCAGGTTCTCCAGCCCCTTCCCAGCTCTGTTCCCTTCCCTGGACATGGAGATGCTGCCAGGGCTGGAGCCCCTCTGCTCTGGAGCCAGGCTGGGAGAGCTGGGAATGTCCAGGCTGGAGGAGCATCCAGGGAAAACTTGGAGCCCCTTCCAGAGCCTAAAGGTGCTCCAGGAGAGCTGGAGAGGGACTGGGGATCAGGGCCTGGAATGACAGGACCCAGGGAATGGATCCCACTGGGAAAGGGGAGATTTGGGGGGGAGATTGGGAAGGGATTCCTGGCTGGGAGGGTGGGGAGGGGCTGGTCTGGAATTCCCAGAGAAGCTGTGGCTGCCCCTGGATCCCTGGGAGTGTCCAAGGCCGGGTTGGATTCCCTGGGATAGCGGGAGCTCTCCCTGCCCATGGAACACGACAAGCTTTAAGACCCCTTCCCACCCACACCCTGGAGCCCCAATCCCGTGGGATTCACCCCACATATCCCTGTTTTCCCCGCCGATTCCAGAGGATTCCCTGGACGAGGATGCGTTTGACGAGGACGCCTTTTACGCGGCGCTGGGGACGCGCCCGGCCCTGAACCTGGAGGAGCTGCAGGATCCCTCCTACCAACCCCTCATCGACCTGTTCTCCGTGTGCACCGCCCAGGATCCTGGGAAAAGGCCCTCGGCCGCTCGGATCCTGGAAGTGCTGGAGGGGATCCAACCCCAGCCATGATTCCAGCCCCGCTCCCGACCCGTGGGATCCCGGGATTGCCTCCGGAAGAGTCTCCCGACCTCCACTCCCTTAGGAATAAGCTCCGTGTCCTGTGCAATGGTTTGAGGTTTAGGGGTTCCAGACCCTTCTCCCTCCCTTTTTTTTGGGATGGGTTTTCCCTTAGTTTTGTGTTGAATAAATAAAGAGTTTTGGGAATCCCAATGTGGAATTGGTTTTTTTTTCCCCTGTTTTTTTTCCAGGTATTTGGGTGAGGGGTGGGGAGGGAAGTGAGGGGTGGGGAGGGAAGTGTGTGTGCTCCCTAAAATTATCCTAAAATCATGGAATATTGTCCTAAACTCATGGAATATCCTTGCTGGAATGGACTCAGAAGGATCAAAGGTTCCAGACCCTTCTCCCTCCCTTTTTTTTGGGATGGGTTTTCCCTTAGTTTTGTGTTGAATAAATAAACAGTTTTGGGAATCCCAATGTGGAATTGTTTTTTTTTTTCCCATTTTTTTTCAGGTGTTTGGGTGAGTTTGGGTGAGGGGTGGGGAGGATATTATCCTAAAATTGTGGAATATTAAACTAAAATCGTGGAATATCCCTGCTGGAATGGACCCAGAAGGATCAAAGGTTCCAGGGGTTCTCCCTCCCTTTTCTGGGGATGGGTTTTCCCTTAGTTTTGTGTTAAATAAATAAAGAGTTTTGGGAATCCCAATGTGGAATTGTTTTTTTTTTCCTGCTTTTTTCCAGGTGTTTGGATGAGGGGTGGGGAGGGAAGTGTGTGTGTGCTCCCTAAAATTATCCTAAAATCATGGAATATTGTCCTAAAATCATGGAATATTTTCCTAAAATCATGGAATATCCTTGCTGGAAGGGACCCAGAAGGATGAAAGTGCAAATCCCTTTTGGGAGAGCAGCTGGAAAACCCCAGGAAAAAGGTTTCCTGGCACAACAGGTTGTTCGAAAATCATCTCCCACAGCAGGAGGACAATATTATCCTAAAATCATGGAATATTGTCCTAAAATCATGGAATACCCTTGCTGGAAGGGACCCAGAAGGATGAAAGTGCAAATCCCTTTGGGAGAGCAGCTGGAAAACTTCAGGAAAACATTTCCTGGCCCAACAGGTTGTTGGAAATGATCCCACAGAATGGTTTTATATCTTGTAAGAATATTGTCCTAAAATCATGGAATATTGTCCTAAAATCATGGAATATCATCCCAAAATCATGGAATATCCTTGCTGGAAGGGACCCGGAAGGATCAAAGTGCAAATCCCTCTGGGAGAGCAGCTGGAAAACCCCAGGAAAAGGCCACAAGAAGAGGAAACAACGTTTATATTAATTCCAAACTCCACCCAAAATTAACTTATTTGCCATAAAATTCCCTCCCAGGACAAACCAAACCTCCAGCACAAATCCCAGGGGGGGAATCCCAAGAGGTTTCCACTAAATCTGCTCCACTCTGTACACAAAGTGACACTCGCTCCCGGGTCGGGAATGCCGGGAATGTTGGGAATACTGGGAATGCCGGGAATCCCGGGAGCTCAGCAGGAACTAAAGACAGGGATCAACTCAAGCTGGGCTTGCCAAAGCCGGGCCTACTTGGAGAGGAAGTTGTAGACCAGGAAGTTGGTCGGGAACTCCGGGAATGCTGGGAATGCTGGGAATCCCGGGAGCTCAGCAGGAACTAAAGACAGGGATCAACTGAAGCCGGGATCACTTGGAGAGGAAGTTGTAGACCAGGAAGTTGGGGGTGTGGCAGTAGCTGGTGGCCAAGAGCTTCCCGTGGGGAGTGGGGTCGGAGAAGGCGATTTCCTGGGAGCTCAGGACGCTCCCGAACATGAACGTGCTCCTGGAACAGAAAACACAGGGAATGGGTGAGCTGGGAATGCTGGGAGGGGATGGGAGGGGAGGGGAGGGGATGGGATGGGATGGATGGGATGGGATGGGAGAGGAAAATGGGGATGGGAAAGGGAAACTGGGATGTGAGAGGAAAACTGGGATGGAAAACTGGGATGGGTGAGGAAAATGGGGATGGGAAAGGGAAACTGGGATGGGAGGAAAAAACTGGGATGGGAGAGGAAAACGGGGGAAGGAGGGAGAAATGGATGGGAGGGAAAAACTGGGATGGGAGAGGAAACTGGGATGGAAGAGGAAAATGGGGATGGGAGAGGAAAACTGGGATGGGAGGGAAAAACTGGGATGGGAGAGGAAAACGAGGATGGGAGAGGAAAACTGGGATGGGAAGTTAAAACTGGGATGCGAAGTTAAAACTGGGATGGGTTATCCCAAAACACAGCCCAGGGATGGGAGAGGAAAATTGGGGTGGGAGGGAAAAACTGGGATGGGAGAGAAATACTGGGGTGGGTTATCCCGAAATACAGCTCAGGGATGGGAGAGAAAACTGGGATGGAAGAGGAAAACTGGGATGGGAGGGAGAAACTGGGGTGGGAGAGGAAAAATGGGGATTGGAGGAAAAAACTGGGATGTGAGAGGAAAACTGAGGTAGAAGAGGAAACTGGGATGGGAGGGAGAAACTGGGATCGGAGAGGAAAACTGGGATGGGAGGGGAAACTGGGATGGGATAAAAATATTGATTTCAAATAAAAATATTAATTATAAATAAAAATATTGATTTCAAATAAAAATATTCATTATTTGAAATCAAAATATTGATTTTAAGTCAAAATATTAATAATTTTAAATAAAAATTGATTCTACATGTAAATATAAATTATTTGAAATATAAATATTGATTTTAAAGAAAACTATTAATTATTTGAAATATATGTATTTATTTTAAAGAAAAATATTAATAATTATAAATAAAATGTTGATTTAAAATAAAAATATTAATTCTTTGAAATAAATTTTTT